CTGACGTGGCGGCCGCGCGCGGGGCCTGTGCTGACATGGCGGCCGTGCACAGGGTCTGCGCTGACATGGCGGCCGCGCGCGGGGTTTGCGCTGACATGGCGGCCGCTGGCAGCAGTGCCCCCGGCAGAGCGCAGTGAGGGACCCCCCTGCATGTGCCGGCGCGACCCGCCACACGACCTTCCTCACCTCTGTCTTCATCACATCTCCCGAGCCGGTGTCACTGCGGCCCCTCACCCTGAAGGGAGGGCGACGCGTGCATGAATCTGTCACGAGCGACATGACTGCTTCCGTAAGGGAAACAAATTATCCGCGGAGGAAAACGCATGCGGGATAAGCTGCTTTGACACAAGGGATTTACTCTGTCCCACTCAAACACGTTCACCCATTTGCATTTTAGAAATTGTGGCCTTTAAAATGTTATCGCCGCGCTGCAGGAATCTTTCACCTCGGCTGACAGCGAGACTTCGCTCACATTAAAGGAGCGGCTTATTGGTTTTATTGTGCTAGGCTAAACTCAACGCTTAACTCATTAATTCATCTCCACTACTCATATTAAAGACAACCTGCTCCTCTGAATGAGGCACACTCCTCCGCTCCCCCGCAGGCATTTACACAGTCTCTTCTTTACCCAAAGACCGTCAGTCAGAGTAGCACAGATCTAGAAGACGGAGAGATTTYTTTTTTTTCCAGCATTGCCTGAATTTTCATTAATTTCTTCACAGTTAAAAGAGCCTCCATTTGGCACGAGCTCTGAAAGTCAATTACTACAAGTACACAAAAGATTGCTGTGTTGATAAAGATATCTTAGGCACGCGTCCACATTTCAGTACGCCTTAAAGCAAACTCTTGTTTATTGAAACAAGCTACACAATTAATTTGCCAAGAAACACGACTCCACACAGCTGGTTTTAACCTTACTAAATGTTAGCTACAAGCTAGTTCAGAATAATTCTGAATTCTTCAGAAGACAGACACATGCACACAGGCGGGCTGCAGTACTTCCTGCAGTACTAACCCCAGTGGGGAGGTTGGTGCTTTTGGTCTCCCTGCAGACCTGTGCAAGCCTATTGCTCTGCTCAGGAGAGAACAGTCACAATTTTATCTTTTACCGAGAGCAGAAGGGAAACAGTCATTACTGTGAGTATAGAACAAAATGCTGGAGACATGCAAAAAAAAAATATGACCTTTTCCTTATAGGACAGCATCCAAACACGTAGACAAAGATCTTGGAAATATAGAAGAAAATAAAAAACTCGAAGAAAACAATCATAAATCTGAGGCTTAAGAGACAGAAGGTGTCAGCCGTCATTCCAGGTGGGTGTCGGTACTGCGGTGTCTAACAGCTCTGTGCCAGCCATTCTGTGTCTGAAAGAAGCTGAACCTGCTTCCCCTGGGAACGGGGGCTCTGCCCTGCAGAAGGCTGTGGCAGGGAAACACCAGACTTGGTATATTACACCCTTGGTAGCCTGCCCGTGTGTGTAAGGACTACACTTAGGTGTTGTTCAGACATGCTTAATGTACGGCTTCAAATACTGACAGGAGCCCCCCCCATCCACCCTTACTGAAAACAGTAGTTTTCTAAGTCTTTGGCCAGCTTTATTCCTCATCCCTGCAAGGGGCACGGAACTTTGCTTAGAACAAAAACACTCTTTTATTCTAGATTTCAGATGAGTTGTTAAGCTATCCTTACCAGTTTTATCCCGGAAAGAGACCTTGTGCATTAAGTTAGCAACAATGCAGCAGGCATGAAAGTCTCCCCAACGGGGACCCGTTTGACTTGAGGTGGACAAGGAGATCCAGAGGCTCCCAGGGGGACACGGGGGCACCACGAAGCACCCTCARCACCACCCAGTGTCTGCAGAGCTGTCCGGACACGGCCGCTGCCTCCTGCCCTGGGTGCCTCGCTCCGTGCAGCTTTAAATTACTGCTTATTTTTATAGTGAGTTTTACAGAACTCACTGGGTGGATGGGTGACTTGCTCTGTGAAGAGATGTGGCATTGCGGTCTGGGAAAAACAAATGCAGTTGTTTTTCCTAGTTTGAGAGAGGAAATCAGGCCCTGCTAATGATGTGAAGTGGTACATATGGGAACTTGGAAAAATTGCAATGCACAAAGCCAGCGTTTCCACTTCGGTTCTATAGGAAATTTCTCCACTATCTTTAATAGGGGCTGCTTCGTATCTTTCCCCCCGCCCCAGAYGTCTTACCTTCTACAACATTGCAATATTGAGATGATTAGCGAGAGGTGAAATTAGCTGGGGGGTATTTATTGAACGCAGCAGTTCAAATAATATCCTCAGCATTCAGCATGGTCTTTTCTTAAAATTTTTTGATTTTTAATACCAGTAATTCTACATAAATGAAAGTTATCCATAAATGCATTACTTACCAGATGGACTTCCTTTTTCTCAGTAACAACTCTGCAATTCCAATTCACCAGTAATTCCCACCGGCTTTTCTCATCCTGTAAGAGAGTGTTCTCGTTAAATAGCAGAGGAAAATACTATCACCGTGACTGTTTATTTAGGGGATGGATACCTAGCAGTTACATCAGTCAGCATTTTTAAAGCTACAGGTGATTAACTGGTTTTATCTTTTATGTTTCCAGAGAATACGTATAGACCAATTGAAGCATGAACGTGGATTGTATTTAAACCTATACAAAGAAGTGACAGCTATTCATGGTTCAAGTATTAAACAGACCATACTATCGAGTTTTCCAAGGATTTTAGACACAATTATCTCAAGTTTAAAAAAAAAAAAAAACTAATTTTGGCAACAGCCATGATAATAGGTCACCATGTTGTGTTCTGTTTGAAATATTTTTTTGTAAATGTCTGCACTGAAGATTTCTTTTTGTTTGCCTTTATGTAAATTTTTTACGTAGCTATTTTTATACACTGTAAGGCTTTGTTCTGGGAGTTGCTGTTAATCTGATGTATAGTGTAACGTTTTTATTTCAATTGTTTTTATGACACCCTTTGAGCAGGTACATGTCTAATTCTGATTGTTATCAGTGAAGCCTCTGCTTTGTAGCAAGCACCTAAAGCGTAAGATTGTCTTTAAGGAAAATATCAAGCTCTTTTCTTGTTCTTTCAAATCTCAGTAAAGAGAAAGGATGACAGCTGTGACAAAAATAAATCGGTAACCAAAGTGAAAATTAAAAAATTCCAAGCAAAGCTTAACTGCCAGAAAGGGAATGAAGAGTTTCTGCAGAGAAGGCTGGGTCTTGAACAAGGAATGTAACAAAGCCCTSCCAGCCTCCCAAAGGATGGTGGCTAATAATCCTTTTCTTCTAGAGGAAGACACACCTTTTATTGATGTGGTATCGGTTCTCTTTTGTGTTAGAATTAGGATAAGAAACTGGAATTCTGGATTGGTTTTGATTCCTTTGTTATCTGCTGCCTTAAAGTACTGTACCTTCTCTTCCTTTCAAAAGATATCAGTCAGAATTGGAGACCTTCCAAAAAAAAAGAAAGTCATATCAAAGCTGCATTTTTTTCCACAGAAATAGAATATATATATTTTTTGTGTGTTTTTGTTAACTACGCTACAGATATCGAATGCACCTTGAGATAATTTTAGTGTTTTTAACTGGTACCTAATTTATCAAACAGTACATATAATTGTARCTATGAAATGTCTATGTATCTTTAGTTACATTCAAGTTTGTAACTTTATAAACATGTTTTATGCTTGAGGAAATTTTTAGAAGGGTATTGATAAGAAAACATTATAGGGTAAATGGCCAATAGAAAAAAAAATGGACTTGGGAGGGAGAAAGTTTCATGTTACACAGCAGGTTAGTTCCAGGACGCAAATAACCGGCAGTTTCGATGGAGACAAAGAGGAGAGTAAGCAGAACATCAGGTTTCCATTTACAGATATCCAGGGAAAAAGTAAGTTTTTATAGACTGGTAGACAGAAATAAATAAATAAATAAATAAATAAATGACAAAGATGGACGTTAGGAAATGTATTTTGCCACTTTTGCATTATTTAGGGGGAAGAAAACACTGTTACTTGTAAATTTGTAAAATGTTAAATGTCTGGGCAGTAGTGACTGATGTCTTAATAAAAGCTTCCTGTAGTGCATTGGCATGGATTAAATACATAAGATGTCCTATAAACTCTACGCTGTATAAAATATTAGAGGGGAAATCCTGTTACATTGCCTCTAAACTTTGATTTGTTACTGTTTTATTTGGCAAAAAAAATATAATCTTGGTCAACATTTAAACCAAAGTMAAATGGGGGAAAAGAACCAAAGTAATTTGTTTTGCATGGCTAAGCCATCATGTTATCTCTGTAAATATTGTGATTTTTTTTTTTTTAGAATTTTGTTAAAAAAATTCTAAAATTTTTAAACACCTCTTTTCCAAAATAAAACGTGAACACACAAAAAAGTTACTTTATATACAAATATATCTTTCTTTTTTTTTTTGTGCGAGAACACTGCCAAGTGATACACATTTAAAAAAAAAAACGCAGTGGGAATAACTCTAAGAAGGAAAGATTGTGGTAGGATGCTGTGATGGAGTATGCAAAAAAATCCAAGGTCCTTGTTAATAACACTACAAAGAATTCTTAAATACAGAGAAGAGACCTCCAACGATCATAAGGAAAAGCATAAGGAAGGGCTGAAAATCGGTGCACCCCTGTCTGGGAACGTGGGGGAGAGAAGAAAGATACTCCTTCAACCTCCACAGCCCTGCGGAGGAGTCAAACCACCTCTCCCGAACGGGATCCTACTCGATCTTCTATGCACTTTACATCGTCAGTCCTAGCAGCCAGGTTTTTCACTGCTCAAAGTTCACTACAGGCACGTCGCGAGAACCAAGAGTGCAAAAGAATTAATGTTTCTATCCATGCCTAAACAACAATAAAACTGAAGTCTGTCTTCACTTGCTTGTCTGAAATCTCCGTCCAACGCGTGCGTGAACACGGAGCAGGGCGCCTGCCCGCAGCTCCAGCTCTCCCCGACTCCTCGCGGGGCCTCAGCAGCCCCATAGGGCCACSTGGGGTGTCTGGGGCCTCCTCCCCAGCAAGAGGGGCAGGACCTGGAGAGCAGCCGGGCAGCGAGATGAGACGTGCCCGTCTCACTGGGGCCTGGTGGGAAACGCGCAGCGGTGAGTCGCAGGGGCCACGTGCAACGCTAGGGTCCAGGCTGAGTTTACTGCACGTGGGAGGAGGGGAAATTCCCTGCTCACAAACTGACAAAGAACAAACCAGCAGGGAACAGCACCAGCACTTTTGGCTGAGAAATGAGGAACTAAGACAGTTTCTGGTGTATATTCGCAGCCTTACAGGAAAGCGGGCCCTGAGCGGGGCACAGAACAGGTTTGTTTCTCTCACRGCACAGACACAGCGCCGTGCAAGGCCATCGCACAGGCCTCCCGAGCAGGCAGCTGCCTGAAGGCGCCGAGGCAGCAGCCTCAGAGCTCGGGGTGCGCTGCCACACGACACRCACGAGCGCCGACTAAAGCTGCCACACGTCGCGGTAGCACGCGCTAGTGGCGGCAGGAGCTGAGGCCTCCTGGGCTGGTTAGGGTCAACGCAGGAAAAGGGAAAGCACCAGGATAATATCCTGCTGATTTCAGGTTCKCCAGGGTGATCCACAGTCTAGGATTTTAACACAGCCCCATTTACTGCATTTCGGTTACTTAATTACTTTTTGAGTTCCTTAAGGGTTGGTTCAGCTCCTGACAGAGCAGCCACCAGCAGAGCAACTGTCTACCCCGGTCCTCTGGACGTCAGCCATGACCTGCCGACAGCCAGGCAACAGCACCGCGGCTGCGCAGCATCTTGGATCTTTTCCTGGACAGAGGGTTTTCATTCATTTAAAATATACATTAAAAACAAATAACTCCAAATTATATTTGGATTAATACTTGAACTAATTATTCTTGAACTAATTTTATCAACTTAAACTATTATTATATACTTGAATTATTATGTTCAAGTGGATATTCCCAGAGACTCTACATTTTTGTATTAGCTATAGAAACAGACAAAGAATTAAATTTTTTKGGGGGGGAGGAGGTATACATTTTTTCAGGAAATATTTAATACTCACTTAATATCCTCAGCTGCTGGCGGCTRCAGTTAAATCTGATTCACTTGAACTACCACATGCAGCTGGATACTTTCCTGTTGACTCCACATTTAAAAGAGCCATATGCACTTAATTAGCTCCGCGAAGATGAGCGGTGCCATATGAAATGAGATCATGCCCTCTTGTGTCAGCCACATCTGTGCAAATGTTTTCCGGTTTTTCTTTTGGAGGAAAAAAAAACACACACACACACACACACATATATATATATATATGAGAATCTCCATCCAGGTGTCTGTGTTGCCAGGAATTGCCCAATACAGCTTTGCAAACAAGACTTCTGCTCTGGGCAGAACAGCCCAGCCTGTGAAGGCGGCGGAAAGGCAGGAGACGTGTCACATTTTCTAGCTTACTGGAAATGTGCTTTCCAGAACTAGACCCCCTGAAGGTCTCTGTCTCCCTTCTAGGAAGGCGAAAGATCCTCAATGAAGTGAGACCGGTGCTGAGCCAGGCTGCCCCCAGCCTGCAAGAGGGGTCTGCAAGGCTGGGSTCCCCCTGCACCCCTGGACCCCCTGCAAGGCTGCGGTCATGAGGAGCCCACCAAGAAGCCCCTCAGAACACAGGGAAGTGCCCAGGTCCTCCCCAGCACACACAGCCAGGCAAGCTGCCAAACAGGAGAACACCACAACTCCAAACAAATCCCAAACCCACTAAACCTTAACCCTACCTGTGCTGCATGCAGCACCTSCGCACACACTCGCACACGTAGTGGCAGCCGTTTCTTTTGGAATAATCAGGGAATCAGAAACTAAGCTCGTTGTTACTCCTGACTGGTTGTTTTTGAGAGTCTGTTTGTGAATGGCTGGACTCACGGTGCCCTCCTCGCCTCTCGCAGCCCGTGCCTTCACTAGGCCAACATTCACACGATTTCCTCATCTACATGTCAGACCTCACGCGCGTTCGAAGCAAGGGGCTCACTTTGACCTAGTGATGAATTTCAGCATGACAAGGTTGAAGACAAAGTACTACAAAACTTCAGTCAATAAATAACTCTTTTGTCAAAAAAAAAATATATATATATACTTTTTTTATTGCTCCCCGAATATTTTTCCCACTCTCAGCTTCTCCTGGTGAACGCAGAGGGGGCTAATGTCTTCCCAAGACCCTTAGCCTAGGGCTCGTGTTCCCATCTCTTATTCTGTACAGAGTCCCAGCTGCCCTCCCCATCATTGCCTGTTTTTATAGGACATTTTGTTCTACACCTTGGAAAACAGCAGTAGTCTTAACACTAATAAAAAACATAAAAGACAGGGAAACAGAAAAGCCCTTGAACCCTACTGARCTTCTCATGCTTGCCCTTCTTCGTGTTCCTACCATTGCTCTGGAAAGTCGATTTGTGAAAACTATCCCAAGTGTAATCCACAAAGGTTGCAAAGGCTCCACTCTACTATACATACCATCCCACATAACTACACCGGTATCACCAATGCCTTTCTAAGCCTTTTGCTCTTTCCAGCTAATCCTTGCTCCTGTCACCTGTACAAGCAGACAGTGTAAGTCAGTCTGACATGCAGGCATCCTTGTCCCRGAAGGCCAGCACAAGTCTTTCATTTAAGGATGGGATGTTTTCCATGTTTTTTGTCCCTAAAGATGTGTTCCAGGGGTTTACTATATGTTATCTATCCATGTATCCAGGAGTGAGTTGAGGGAAGAAAGTAACATCCAAYTGCTGCAAGTAACAATAGACAGATTTTAAACAGATATTAATTCAGTCACATTATTTTCACCCGTTTTACTAGGAAAAAAAACCCTCTTGCAGTCCTAACCAACATTCAACCTCACCCAGAAAAGAAGTATATACTACAGCTTATGTTAAAACAGGTCAGCCCCAAATCCCGAAGGGCAGTGAAGCTCCCTTGGCTCTGTTTTGCACCATCCTCAGACTTCCCCACCAGGGGTTCTTACTGGATCAATCAACTAATCACGCGCATTGGTGAAGCTATGGTAACGATTTCYTCCGTCAGAGCTAGAAAGCAAATACAAATTCGATTCTGGATTGCAAGTGATTCCATTTTGTCTACCCAACGGATCTGCGGTTTCATTAATATTTGCATCTGTCACAAGAACAGCAAGTGCAGCATTGACCACAGAACACATCTAAAGGGCTGAGCCTAATTCATTTCATTTCCTGAATTTAGATTCAATTAAAGAATCGAATAAAACCTCATACAGATAAAACACTCCACAAATCCAATTTCAGTGATGTTGATATACAAGCCCTCTCTGCTGTTACTCATCCAAACAAAGAAAAATCACGCTCRTTTCCAACAATTAATAAACAAATAAAATAAACAGAAGGAACCAAAGCAATTGCATTCCCTGAAGGGAAAGAACCAGGATATGGGAATCGGATGGAACGGGGACATTCAGACAGCATCAGCACGGACCGGACCGTTCCAAAGGCCGGTGGCGCTTCCGGCGGCTCCACGTGGTGGCTCCCGGCACCTGGTTCCGAGCGGAACGCCGGGATGTGGAGCTGATGGACCACGGTCAGGAACCTGCCCAATGGCAATGCCTCTGGAGCAGGGAGCCCATCCTTGTCYTTTCACCGCGCTCCATGCTCCTTCCAGGAAGGGGGAAGGGAAGGGAGGAGCGAAGCTGCAAGGAAACAAGAGCAGAACCCACTGAAAGGGCAAAACTCCGGAGCCAGAAGCCGAGGTGGGAACGGGCTGGGATTGCAGCCTTCAAAGCAGCCCCTAGACAGGGCTCTGTTCCCGTGCCGCTTCTGCTGCTACCTCAGGAGCATCTGCTCAGGTATTTGCTCTCTCCTCCAGATGCTAGCTTCAAAAGYACTAACAGCCACCACCAAGAATGGATCTGCATCCCAAAGACAGTCAAAACACTGTTTTATCGACCTTAGGGGCAATCTTTAGCACCAAAAGGGGAAGGAACAACAGCTAATGTAGCTTCAGAGAGCRGCCACCCGCTCTGAGCAGAGCCGAATGCAAAAGATTGCACCACAACTGGCATGTAAATGGTAAAAAGCAGCTTGAACATCACACAAAGTGTACAGAGAAGTGGCATTTGACACATACAGTTTAAACCTATATGTATGAAGCAAGTATCTTTGCTTCCAAAATTATATGGAAAATCTAATGGCTGAACCAGCAGAAGCACCTGGAGCTGAGCTTCCTGAAGCACTAAGCCTGACCTCAACATAGGG